GAATATTTATTGATTATTTTTAGGCTTTGCCAGCAGTACTTCCATTAGTACTGTAAAGAGAGATTGCGCAAGAGAGAGAGAGATTTGAGTAGGCTCTGAGCTGTGTGCAGATACAGAGGCCTGGTATAGAGTATTGAGAACCCTGAGCTGTGTGCAGATACAGGGAGATTTATATATTGGACTTTTTATTTATTTTACCTTATATATTTATTGGACACAACCCAAGCTGTAATTGAATTTACATGCTCACAATATATACCATTGCTATAACTACTATTTGATTCCAAATAATCATTATTGACATCAGCAGTCAAGGGATGTGTTGGTGGTAAATTAGTTTGATTACTTATTGTAGAAGTTAATGGCAATTGATGTGGAATTAGCTTGATTATTGGTTGGACTAGTTCTGTTACTAATTTGTGTTGATGATCATGAAGAAATAATTGATAAATGTGAAGAAGTTAGTCCATATGCTGGAAGCTAGTGTTGATGAAGTATTACTCATTATTTTCAAGTAGTGGCAGATGTTGTGACTTTATTTTAAGTGAACCGCTTCACTTTGACCAACAACCAAGATTCAAGAGACCACAATTTATTCAAGATAAAATGAGGAGGGTGTTTGTGTTGCTATTGATGTCAATATCTGCATGGTGTTAAATAGGTTTATGGAACCAGACTGTGTATTTTCAAGGCTATCAACTCATACTACTGGCATACTGGATTTCAACTGTTATTGTGTGGAAACATTGATATTGGTAATTGAAGTTAAGAGGAAGCATATTTTAGAAGGTATCAAAGAACAGGCTTTTCCTGAGTTTTATCAAGCAAGTGAAAAGGCAAGAATGGTGATTCAACAAATTTACAACTATATGGGAGAAAATAAACTTAGATATGGTATCCTTACCACTTATGATAATCACTGGTTTCTATGCCAAGAGCATACAGAGCTTTGGGTTTCAAAAACTCTTCCATTAGAACCAAAATCTCCACCAGTACTCAAGGCATATGCTTATCTAACTCAACAGGCAAAAGAGAATCCTAATTCCCCTCATCCACTTCAGGTACCAGTACAAGCTCATGGGAATAATAATTCATATGTTCTTCAATCACAGTTAAAATTATCTTCTAACCAATCAGCAAATCAACAAACAACTCCCAGCACATTGGTGTACTAACAATCACTTAATCAGCAGAATTTTAGCTTTGCAGACTTTAAGGACGAAGTGGAAAAACTCTACTATGCAAGTTTCATGGTGATACAATTGTTTTGAAGAGTGTAGACTTATCAAAAGCCCCACCATATGTTCTGGAAGAAATGCAAGTATATCCAAAGTTGATCTGCTATGGATATTATGGAGGAGGTATGAGTTTTGTTATTGGTATGACCATTGTTGATACTATGTTGTGTGAGCATAAAATAACAAAACAGCAAAGGTCAAGGGCTATTAAGGGATTAAAAATGATTCACAAGCATGGCATCCTCCACAATGACATTCGGGAGGAAAATGTCTTAATTAACAATAATGGCAATGTGTACCTGATTGACTTTGGGATGGCAAGTTGGGAGGACACAAAAAAGAGGAGAAAGCTTTTTGAGGAGGAACAGCTCAAATATTCTAACTTGCTAGATAGATATAAGGCAGGATGAATTTTCAAGCCACAGATTATACATTAGACATTAGCATTGTCATGTATCACTAGCAAAGTCCCAAACTTGTATTTTTTCACATTCACCTAAAGTTTAATAATAAAATTCCTTCTACTTTATTTGATACAAAAAAATAATTTTATGTTATAAATTACAATGTAAAGGCCAGCCTATGCTGACAGAATTGTGGAGCAGGGACAAAGAGGAAGGAATAAAGCATATAACATGCCTGCCAGGATCCTAGACCCTTTAAATTGTAAATTATTGGGCAGTTCCTTTCCCTGTCCACGTTAGCTATTGTTATCATTGTTATTATTACTATTATCACTATCAAAAATTATATTACTGCTACTTGAAAAATTATTTCTACTGCTACTGCTAATGATAATAGAATTATCTTTTTTCTGATTTTCTTTTTTGATCCAGGCCTCAATTTTTATCTAATGAAGTTTTTAATGGAGTTTTTGATGTATATAGAAACTTGCTAGTGTTGCCTCATTATTTATCATCAAAATTTTTCCTATTGATGATAATTTAAAACTCAAGTATTAATATGCCAGGTCTTTATGTCTTCAAATGAATTGAGATAAATAATTGATGTATGCTTATAACTATTTTTGAGTTTAGAAAAATATTGCTTTCTTGTAAATATTCACCAGCAGCATGAAATTTGTAAAATATTTAACTTATCATAATAAAATGTTTCATTATTATTAATACTATTATTATC